TATGGTATAAGGTAAAACCCAAAACTATCAGACCATCCTCACAACTATGCACCTTCACAAGGCAAAGATGGTTTCAACTTGCTGAAAACCTTGAAACATTTTGTTCCTGGAAGAAAGCTAATATCACTAGGATTATTGACGTAATACACAAAGGAAAAATATTAACAAAATCAGAATTGGAAGAAAAACACAATACAACCTTCAAATGGTATGAATATTTACAAATTCAACATCTGATTAATTCAACAGAATTCAAATCTACAAGCAAGTTACCTCTCATGGAATTAGAAAAATTACTAATTAAAGGAAACCCCAAAAAGGCCTCATCTCTAAAATCTACACCATCATACTCAATGCTCAAAAAAATCAACCTTTAAGTTATCAAAAAGCGTGGAACTCAGACTTAAAAACACAACTTACTGATGAAAATTGGACTGAAATATGGCAAACACAATCGAAGATCTCCAAAGTTTTAAGCATCCAAGAAACCAACCTAAAAGTGACCACCAGATGGTACTTAACACCAACTAAACTAATGCACATAAGTCCTACTATATCACCATACTGTTGGAAACTCTGCGGCAAAAGAGCAAATTATTTCCACAACTGGTGGATGTATGAACACATACAAAACTATTGGAAACAGATTGCTAAACAGATTGAAAAGCTGACAAGTTATAACCTACCTTTGATTCCTGAATTGATGCTGCTCCATCTCTGGCCTTCCGACCGTCCTCCTGCAAATAGAATAAAGCTAATTAACATTTTGTTAACAACAGTTAACAATTGCAAAAAACTGGAAAAATACAAAGCCTCCCACAGTAAATCAATGGATCCATAAGACATGGGACATATTTATGCTGGAAAAATTCTCAATCTATGACTCAATACACCAAAATAAATGTGAATTCTATAACACACTTAGCATTTGGTACCCAATATTGGACAAAATATCTTTACATAAATTTGACTGGGAAAACATCACTGAAGCTAAATATAAGATAATGCTTTACAGCTGAGAAAAAACAGGTCATGATGTTTACTTCATCCTGTAAATACTAATTGGTAATAGCATATAGTACAGTTATACGACTTGGTTGAAAATTATCTAACTTTTCTGCTAACCAAAAGTTTTGTAAAAAAACTGCCTGTTCTGTAATTGTAAAACCAACCCTATTTCTCTGTATAGTTGTTTGAATAATTGCATTGCATTACAAAAAGTTAATAAAATTTCTATTTTTAAAAAAATTATTTTTACATGCCAAGATAGTATTCTAGTAAATAATATATAAAATAAGATAGTAATTTATATCTTCCTGTTGAGCTGTCTATTTGTCGCATCTGCCAGACTACCACTCTCTCTCTCTCTCTCTCTCTCTCTCTCTCTCTCTCTCTCTCTCGCTGCCGCACAGCAGAATCGAAGCTCCAGTCCTTTTATATAAACATTTTTTTCAGGTAAAAGGGGGGGAGGGTAACTGATTATTTAATCCACAGAAAAAAATAATCCACAAATATGTGCAGTGAGATAAAGTTTATCTGAAAGGTGAGAATATAGATTTTTTTTTTGCCTGCTTCAGATATTTCCACTCTATTTTAAATTTGGTCCTTCTTGAAGAATTGATTAAATTAGGCACAGTTCAGTAGTTTATCTTTGCACTGTCACAAATCTCAGTTCTCTGTGCTTTGTAGTCCATAAATTTCCAGAAATTCTCTTACCAGTGAAGTCAGACATTGCTGGGAATCTGGAAATCTGCCAGCCTTCTGAGTTAGTTGTAATTCCAAAACATATCTTTTAAAATGTGCCAAATGATTAATAACATTTCTTAAAAAGAGAAAAGGAAAAAGAAAATATAAGTGGTGGTGGGGTTTGACCTTGCCAACAAAAGCCCCTTATCCTTCACTGACTTTGGTATTGTCAGAACCTAAGCAGAGTCTGGATAAATCAGCACTCCCTATCAGTTGGATCTCCCCCATAGGGGGAGGTATAAGGATAGAAGAATAAATTCTCTCTATCCTGGTGTAATACGCCTTCAGTGAGATAAATCTGGAGCTTTTAGAAATGATCCTGTTCAGATTGCCATTTCCGCTGTAACATGAAAAGGCTATGAACAGGATGTTCAAATTAAGCCCTATTTTGAGGTGAGGAGGAGGGATTTATACCCCACCCTTCACTCAGAGTCTCAGAGCGGCTTACAAACTTTTCCTTCCCTTCCCCACAACAGACACCCTGTGAGGTAGGTGGGGCTGAGAGAGCTCTGACAGAAACTGCTCTTTTCAAGAACACCTCGGACAGAACTGTGGCTTGCCCAAGGTCATCAAGCAGCTGCGAGTGGAGGAGTGGGGAATCAAACTCAGTTCTTCCAGATTAAAGTCCGTGCACTTAACCACTACCTCTATTTATTCTAACCACTGCCTCTATTTAGAGTGAACAGAGGTGATGGTGCTTGGTGATTTGTCATATAATGGACCAATTCACATATTACTGGTGACATGACAAAATCTTGTCTCTGGGAGATTGAAAATGAAGGTAGACATGTGAACTAGTCTTTTGGAGATGTGAACGTGCATGGCTTCCATTTTCTAGACAACAGCATTGTAATCAAGGAGTCATTGCCTCCTTCCTTTATTTATCCTTAGCAAATCTCTGCATCCAAGAATCTGCAGGAGGACAATATATTTATATGGCTGCTCATATTACTGATATATAACTCCTGACACAGGTTATTGCAATGTGTATCATCATGCTGAAAAAGTGCTATTGTTGACCTTTGAGTTTCTTATCTTCCCTAAACTGCTGATACTGGATCATATATGGCATGGGAGGGTCTTTGGTTATGAAGCAGTGGCCCTCAAGGTCAAGATCCAATCTGTAACTAAAATGTTAAAAGCACAATCATCACTCATTCTAACCACTTGCTTGTTCTAACCCACATTTGCTAGCATTTTAGTTTTTGCGGGGACAACAATTAGAATAAAAACTGTTGTTATTGCAATTATGAGCTAATCCAGACACGGGATTGTATCACAGACTCCGTTTTATTTTTTTGCGGAATAAACAAATATGTAGAAAAGACAGCAGATGCAGTCAAGAGAGGTCATTTTTGTTAATGATAAGAGGAAGAAAAATCTGAAAAGAAATTCTAAATTGCTTAGCGTGAGCCAAAAGCCTTTGGAAGCTGATAAACAGGACAGAAAAGCTGACATTCCTTGTTAAATTTCCCCCGGCATCTGGTGTTCAGAGATGTACAGTCTCTGCATATGGAGGTTCCACATAGTATGATTTACACAATTCAGTAAAGATTAAACAACAGTCGGTTGGATCCTAGGAGTCCCTTCTGCAAAGTTGGGTTTTATAACTGTTAAGTCTTCCTTCGAGGGAGAAAGACCTCATCCAATGGATTATGATATCCATCTGATGGAGAAAGGCTTCCTTTGATGGGAAATAGGTATTTCTTTGTTGAAGAAAATCTTTTTTCTGTTGGAGGAAAAATTGGCTCTACCTCCAAATCCCCAGGAATTTCTCCAGCTTGAGCTGGCACCCCTAATACAGCTACTCACCATGATGGTTTAATTCCCCACCACCACCATGTTCTACAGCAGTGTCATTTTATGTGCCAGTTATTGGGTGGACAGGGAACATAAGAAGAGCCCTGCTGGATCAAGCCAGTGGTCCGGCATCCTGTCTCATACAAGAGGCCAACCAGTTACTCTAGAGCAGAGGTGTCAAACTCATTTGCTACAAGGGCCGGATCTGACATAAATGTCACTTTGTCAGGCCGGGCCATGTGTGCCGTAAAATGTAATGCCAGGTACAGGAGATATAAACTTTATAAAAGACACAGGCGAACCTGATTAAGCAATTGATTCCTAGCAGTGAAAGCTATTGCTTTACTGGGGAGCCCACAGAAGCCTAGGTCTCCCAGATCCCCCACCCCACCCCAAGTTCTCATCCCTCCTGCGTTTCCCACAGTCTTTTTTCTGTTGGAGGAAAAATTGGCTCTACCTCCAAATCCCCAGGAATTTCTCCAGCTTGAGCTGGCACCCCTAATACAGCTACTCACCATGATGGTTTAATTCCCCACCACCACCATGTTCTACAGCAGTGTCATTTTATGTGCCAGTTATTGGGTGGACAGGGAACATAAGAAGAGCCCTGCTGGATCAAGCCAGTGGTCCGGCATCCTGTCTCATACAAGAGGCCAACCAGTTACTCTAGAGCAGAGGTGTCAAACTCATTTGCTACAAGGGCCGGATCTGACATAAATGTCACTTTGTCAGGCCGGGCCATGTGTGCCGTAAAATGTAATGCCAGGTACAGGAGATATAAACTTTATAAAAGACACAGGCGAACCTGATTAAGCAATTGATTCCTAGCAGTGAAAGCTATTGCTTTACTGGGGAGCCCACAGAAGCCTAGGTCTCCCAGATCCCCCACCCCACCCCAAGTTCTCATCCCTCCTGCGTTTCCCACAGAAGCAGCAGGGCTGAGGGGAGGGCCTGACAGAAAGGCTGTTTCCAAAACCTCCAGGGGGTGCTTTTTGTCCTTCCACAACTCCTTTTCCCTCATGGGATGAGAACAGCACCAGTTGCTTGTGAGCCAGATAAGAGCCCTGGATGGGCTGGTTCCAGCCTGGGGGCCGTATGTTTGACACCCCTGTCCTAGAGGGCCAACAACAGGGTATAGAGGCCAAGATCTTCTCCTGATGTTGCTTCCTGGTTCTGGGATTCAAAGGTTTAGTGCCTCTGAGTTTGGAGGTTCCCCTCAGTCACCAGGGTTAGTAGCTACTGATAGAAGGATGCTGCCTTGGAATCTCGCCTATGGGAAACAGGACGATGGAGAAGATGGGCAGCAAAACTCATGAAGTCCAGAAAGAGCTGCACCATGAATTATTTCTGAACATGTAGTTTGCTTCTAAGTTGAGCTGAATAGATTCTTATTTCATGTTTCTCAGGTGGTACTTGTTGATGGCAATAACAGCTTTATGCTCTACCCATTTTAGAGATACTAAGAAGCTTGAAGAAACAGATGTTTTAGAAGAGAAATGTGAAAGTGCCATAACAGTGGAAAATGGAATCCCCTGTGACACCTTGGATTTAAAAGCTGGCCATGTTAATGGCGTCTATGCAGCAGCAGATGATGAACGGCTTACGCCCTTATGAACTGTCACTGTGTTCTCATGAATCCCTTTTTCATGGACCTGTCCTGTTTTATCTAAGTAATACTACTGATTATGAAACAGCAAGACAAGGACTCTAATATAATGTGTTTCCCCTGCCCCTTTGGCAGACGGTAAACACACATACTGCAAATTCAGTTTTCATCAAAAGCTCATCACAGAAAGAACAAATATAGAACCCCATGTCATATGTTCTTTGGGTGTGTCAGGGGATTGGGGCAAAGGCTGTTTTCCATCACATGCTTTGTAATGGATTATTATTTAAACACGTTGCTACCCTTTGTCTTTTGTTCTGTTTCTCCAGAAAAAAATATGATTGACTTTCTTCCATTATTATACTCATAAGAAAAGTGATCCACTTCACTGGAGTCTGTGAGAATACTGCATATCAGCTATAGGCTAAAAAAGAGCATTTGTCACATGTTAGAAGGAGACAGATGATAACTTTTCAGAGAGGTTAAGTAGTACTATACAGCTGTCAATGTGCTTTCTACATGACTTCGTTTTTTTATTGTTCTGCTATGATCTATGGTCAAACTATTTGTGCAGGTTTCTTTATATTTCAAGATACACTGGGGGAAAATAGATATCAGCTCTAACGCTGCTTCCATTGACTTGGATGCCTTTTGATATGACTGTTTATCAGCACCTGTTGGATAGTATCCATAACGTCAAACTGGGTGGAAGTTGATTCGAAGATATTCAAAGGCTAAACCAAAGGTAAAAAGAGGAGGCAGTAACCATGCATACTGATGAACACAGGAAATAAATAGGGGTAAATAATGATTAATAAGTAAACACAAATTTTAAAACGTGCACATCTGCTCATATTTGTCCCCCTTCATACCTCTTGAACATGTCTTGTCCTTTCAGACTGTAAAGCCCTTGGACAAGGATTGTCTCTTCCATATATCCTGTGATAGTCCTTGTTGGATTTTTGGGATAATAAATAAATAAAATTCACAATTAATAAAAACATCTTAGCCTTTTACATTCATAAGTTGTCAAGTAGGCATTGTTTGTTTCTGTACAAAGATTTTTTTGGTAGGGTACAATCATAAAGAGGGCGTGACCCAAAGCACAGTTACACCCTTCTAGGATGTAACTCTTCTTAGAATAGCAGTGTTAAAATTGTTTCAAAATAAGAACTATACTGGATGATTTCACACTCCTCTTTCTCTCAGAACTGTTCTGGAGTAATTTTCCAGCAACCAAAAAGTAAGCCTAACAATGCAAGACTAAACAGAGTTACATCCTTCTATACCCATTGATTTCAGTGAAATTAGAAGGGTGTAACTCTGCTTTGGATTGTGGTGTGAGCCAACTAGATCTTGCTTCAACTTCAGTAGTTGCTGCCACCAATTTTACCCTGTTCTTTATACTTTTTGTTGTTGTTCAGTGCGACCCCACAGACCACATCACGCCAGGCCCTCCTGTCTTCCGCCATCCTCCGGAGTTTGCTTAATTTCATGTTTGTTGCATTGATAACACTGTCTAACCATCTCATCCTTTGCCGTCCCCTTCTTCTTTGACCTTCAGTCTTTCCCAGCATCAGTGTCTTCTCCAATGAATGTTCCCTTCTCATTTGGTGGCCAAAGTATTTCAGCTTCAGCTTCTGTATCTGGCCTTCCAGGGAACAGTCAGGGTTGGTTTCTTTTAGAACTGACTGATTTGCTCTCCTTGCAGTCCAAAGGACTCCCAAGAGTCTTTTCCAGCACCATAATTTGAAAGCATCTATTATTTGGTGCTTGGCCTTCCTTATGGAAGGCAAAAGATTGCTTTCCTCATAAAAAAAGGTTCTCTAATTCCTTAATCTTAATTTACCCTCTTTTGTACTTTTTCCATCTATGCAATATCCTTTTTGAGATATGGTGACTGGAATGATACATAGTATTCCAATTAAAGATGCACTATAGACCTATGCAGGGGCATTAAAATATGGATTATTTCCCCACTTTCCTAAGAATGCCCAGCAAGAAGCTAGTCTTGTTTGGATGTAGGCACTATTTTCAGCTTTCAGATCTTAATTTAGATTTTTTAAAAATTCCTTGCATTTGCTATACAGCCTTGCTTATTCCTTCTTGTATTTTTAAAAATTAAAACAACTTGCTGAACCTTAATTTAACACAGAAATGTGTAGCTCTGTATAGTTGATCTTTTTGTAGAATGAAACATGGCAAGTTATTGAATTGGTAGCATCAGAAAGCCCATATCACATGACGGTTTTTGTTTGTAATAATCTGAGTGATTCTTGCACCTGCACACCCATTCAACTCCAATTACATTGTACCTTTGTCGATGATGACTTGAGAAAGCAGCTATACAACTACATACAAATTAAGCCTTGGTGTTTTCAGGAAGTAAGGCAGCCAAGCTATTACTTCCTACTTGCCAGAGGTTACAGGAGTTTTTAAAAACACTTCTGAAGCCAAACAGCATCTGCTGGGCACCCCTTCAATTCAAGCAAGTGCAAGGGTTACAAAACAAAAGAGAAGCACAGAGTTGCCAGCCGGGCCTGGTTCCTTCCTGGACGGAGTGATTTGGCATCAAGACCCAGGAGAATCCTGATCAGGTGACTGAAGGCAGCAACAGGGAAAGACATTCTCTTGTGCTAGCTAGGATTAGGATTCCCTCTGCTGCCTCTGTTTTTGCTGCTGTGTGTCTGTAGGGAACATGGGTCCAGGCTAATAACATGTAGTTTGGTCCAAAGTGACTAGCCCAAGGTCAACCAGTGCCTTTTTGTGTAAGTACAACACTAATAGCGGAGCTGTGGTGGCTCAAGTGGTTAAGACGCTGAACTGCAGGCTGTGGAAGGTCAGTAGTTCAGCAGTTCGAGACCCGAGTTGCCGCATGACGGAGTGAACTCCCATCTCTAGTTCCAGCTCCTGCCAACCTAGCAATTCGAAAGCAAGAAATTGCAAGTAGATAAATAGGTACCACTTCGGTGTGAAGGTAACAGTGTTCCATGTGCCTTGGTGTTTAGTCACGCTGGCCACATGACCACGGAGACATCTTCGGACATCTTCTTTGGCTTTGAAACGGAGATGAGCACCGCAACCCTAGAGTCGGACTCAACTGGCTTTCGAGCAAGGGAACCTTTACCTTTACCTTTACAAAAAAAAAGGGGTCAGCTCCCCAAAGTGAAATGAAACAGAAACATTCTTGTCACTTAAGGAAACACGGGCACAGAGAGAAAAAGGTGTCCCAAGGGAGGGTATTCAGCACTGCTACCATGCACCCCAATTTCAGCTGTTTGTTTTTCAGCAGTTACGTGTACTCAGGCAGAGATGAGGACTAAGTCAAAGGCTCCCATTGTGTAATCATTCAGCACATATGAAACTATTTCTGCAGAGATCCTCTCAGGGTCAGACTACATGATGTCTTTAAATACTTTGAATCTGGGCTCCCTGTACCCAACTGGCTTCCACCTCAGTCACACAGCAGCTACAGGGAACTTTGACGCTACACATTCTCAGAATACTCTGTGTGCAGCTCCAAAATTATGCACCCCCACTCCACTTCAAGGCAGTTTTAACTCAGGAGGCAAAGGCATGGGAGGGGAGGCAGGTGGCCCCTCCTCCCCCTACATCACTGTCCTGAGTAAGATCAGCTCTTGCAGGCTTTATTTACTTCATTTATACCCCATGTTTCTCCCCAATGGGCTTATAATTTTTCCTCTCCTCCATTTTTTCCTCACAACAACCCTTTGAGGAAGAAGGAGGAGGAGGAGGAGGAGATTGGATTTATACCCCACCCTTCACTACCCGAAGGAGTCTCAAAGTGGCTTACAATCCCTTTCCCTTCCCCTCCCCACAGCAGACACCCTGAGAGGTAGGTGGGGCTGAGAGAGCTCTGAGAGAAATGCTCTTCCAGAACATCTTTGACAGAACTTATGACTCATCCAAGGTCACATCAGCAGGTGCAAGTGGAGGAGTGGGGAATCAAACCCGGTTCTCCCAGATTAGAGTCTGTGCACTTAACCACTACACCAAACTGGCTCTCAGGTAGGTTAGGCAGAGAGTGTGGGACTGGCTCAGGGTCACACAGCAAGCGTCTACTTCTTCACCCAAAGAGTGATTAACACATGGAATTCACTGCCACAGGAGGTGGCGGCGGCTACAAGCATGGACAGCTTCAAGAGGGAATTAGATAAGCATATGGAGCAGAAGTCCAACAGTGACTATTAGCCACAAGGAACTCTCCATCTGGGGAAAGTGATCCACTGTATTCTTGGTGCTTGGGCGGGGGGGCAACAGTGGGAGGGCTTCTAGTGTCCTGGCCCCTGTCACGACAGGGCCAGTGGGACAAGGAAGAGAGGGGGAGTTCACAGTCCAGTCTGAGAGTCAAGCCAGAGAGAGAGAGCAAAATAACCAGAGCAACAGTCCCAATACATAAAGCCAGGCCGTAGTCAGAGCGTTACCGAGAGTCAGAGTCCAGATAAGCAAGCTTCAAAGTCAGGGTGCAGAGCTGAGGATCAAGAGCCAGGGAGTCGTCAAAATGCGGCCTGGAGTCAGGAGCCAGGATATCAGTCAGTAGCCGGATACCAGGAACAGAGCCAGAGGTGCAGAGCTTCTGGTCCGAAGGATGAGTTTGCCAGCACAACTAGCCAGCAGTCAGCGGCCTATTCAAATAGCTCGCTGAGTTGTTAACTCATTAGTGCCTCATTAGCACTGCCTTGCAAAGTCCTTGATCCTGCTAGAACTTTGGGCTTATTGATCTCCAACCGCGCAAGCATGCCTCTTTGCATCTGGTTGCCAAGTCCTGGCACTCTGATTCCTCAGCTGGTCGACAGGTGGCGGAGAATCGGGTGGCGTGCTGCTGAGGCCAGGCACCCCCTGATCGATTTCAGGTGCAGGCTGTTCTGGAGGCTGGTGCTCATCCTTTTCAGTATTTAGGTTTGGCAAAGACTCCCATGCCTCCAATGGTGTTAAAGTCCTCAGTTTCAGAGCTCCCAGGCGCTGGGTCGGGGGCAGGCATGACCGC